AAATTAAAAATATAGAGTATTCTGTCACTCTTGCACTCATTTGTTCACTGTTCCGCAACTTAAAAATAAACAAGGCATAAAATAATAATTAACAAAAATTAACGCATTCATCATACACATCAGTTTTCTTTTTACTATACATGTGTAAAAAATTAATTATACATTAATTAATTTAAAGCAATTTTGAAATAAAGAAAATTTAGAATAAAAATAAACATAAGAACAAAAAAAAAACAAAAAGCACCTCTTTAAAAGTGCAGTTACAATTTATAGCTGCTAAGAGCGGCATGTTAATTATTTTTAATAATTATTATAATATACTTATTAAACACAAAACAACCAAATATTGTCATATCGCTCAAGTATCACATGACGTAGTTTTTTAAAAACATTCACTTTTTTGTTTTATTCATTTATTACTTTTGTGACTGCGAGATTTAAAGACTTGGTAATTATTCATTATAAAATAGTAATCACTAATAATAAACACTAAAAGGCATCTACAAGGTTTCAATACAAAATAATATTATTATGATAATAATAATAAAAAGATATAATATAATATAATATAATAATAATAATAAAAGTTGAAAACTCTAGTATAAAAACTAACCACTGCATTGTATGCAAAATCTCTCTAAAACTTAATAACATAATATAACCTAGTTAATAATTAAAAAAACGCATAGTACGACATTGTTTATAATTAATAATTAAATAATAATAATAATAATAAAAATTATAAAAACAATAATGTATTTTATACACTTTTTTTCTACATCGTAGGCCTCATTTTTAGTCAGATATTTTTGTCCAAGTAAGACATATTACTTGTATTGTGAGTTGACTTATTGGCAAGAGTCACTGTCAATTGTCCACGGGGACGTCCGAAATAATAAATTTAATAAATAATAATGGTTTTAAAGGTATGTAATAATTAAAAAACGCGAAACAATTAACGTAGTGGATGATAAAAAAAAAAGAAAAAAAAAAAGATATGGAAGTTATTAATATAATAAGTACGTATTTGGTGTATGAGATTTAACTTGTCTGAGCGAATTCTATTCACTGATAACAGTTTTAAATTATAGGAGAAAAATATATATGTTTGTAATATATATATATATATATATATGTAACTATTTGTTTTTAGAATTTGTTTTATGGTTTTGTCAGCTATTTCAACAGTTTTATTTTATGGAGAACGGAGAGCGTAAGTGAAGTTGATAACGCGACACGTGAATTGTGCGTGAATTTAAATTTATTTTATTTCATTTCATTATTATTTTATTTTATTATTTTTGATACGAAAATTTGTTCGATTGCTTAAATAAAATAAATTGCTATTGTTTATTACAACGCGTAATCTAAATGAACATTTAAATTATATATATATGTATTCATTTATGATATATATATATCATATATAATATATATTTATATTTAATAATATATATATATTATTCAAATGTACAATAGAAACATTTATAATTAATACTCTATATAAAAAAAATATCAATGTATAAATTAATTATTTTATAAAATGGCATTTGATGGCAACTCATTTCAGTTTTTTTTTTTTACTTTATTGTTAGTAACTTTGTGATCTATTTATTCAAATTTTTTTTAATGTTTATGTTGCTTTCATTGGGTTTATTCGCGAAAGTTTTTGACTTTTGTAATTTTGATTTTTCATTTGATATAAACATATATATCACTATCTGTACACGAGTCCACAGGAAAAAAAACTTATTATATTGATAATAGAAAATAAATTTTGTATCGACTGTAAAAAAAAAAAAACGGCACTTTAAATAGAATTATTATTCTTAAATTATTTTGATAAAAATAAAAAATTATTTGATAGTTTAATAAATTGAATTTTGTTTTTGTAGTTTTCGTTACATCATTTAAACTACTAAAGTTTTCGTGTTGATTTATAATTTTAATAATTTTATCAAATTTTACGTATTTTCATTTTGGCCGAGCTCTTACTTTTGTTCATGCATTTTTTTTATTTTTTAATTGGACAATAACGCATTACCGTGCCAATAAAATATTAGTATTATTAAAAAATAATAATAATGATAATAATATATAGAATAAAATAATAATAATAAGATAATAACTATAATTATAATAATGATAATATTAAAACGATCACATCGTCAAGCACAGCATTTTGGCGGTTGCACGAATCGTACGACGACAATATCAAACCAAAACTTCTTGTTTTTTCACTTTTTGTTTTTATATATAATAGTTTAACGTGACAATTAAATGACACGAATTTTTTTATTTTTATTTTTTCAATATTTTTTTATATTTTTTTTTGTTTTTTATATTTTTTTATTTTTTAGTACTTGTATGAGAGTACTGATAATTAATTGCGGTTTTTTTTATTTTTCAATATAATATACCATTCCTAAAATATGATCAAATCACTGCCGCGAGCAGCAATTCCGAGGCACTACAAACAGGCCATAACGAATATGGCCGCACAATTATCATCTTCAAATCTGTTATTATTATTTTTAATTGTTATCTTTTACTTTTATAAATCATAAGACTAAGTAAAGAATACTTAATAGACAATCGATAATCATATTAATTAATAATAATAATAATAATAATAATAACGTTACTTATTATCTGAATACCTAGATACAGATCAATGTAACGTACAATAATTAGAGAGATCACACGTCTTAAATATTTCTCAATTTAAAAGACTATTTCTAGTACATAAAACATTTGCTTCCTCTTTAAGTATTGCCACGAAATTTGCGGATTGATGATAATAGTTAATTAAATTAATTAATTAAAATAATAATAATAATAATAAATCTGATGAGCGGACAGCAAAACACGGTCTTCGAGTTGAGCCACGCCGTCTGTCTACTTTACAATATATAATATATTTATATACTTTATTAAAAACTTACGATTTAAAATCTCTACAGTGTCTCAGCCTTCGTCCACAAATTCCCTCCCTCAAGTCTGTATTATTTTATTATTTTTTTTTTTTTCACTTCTATTATCATTATTATTTTAAAAATTTGTTGTTGTAAATGCTTACCTAAGTTAGTTATCAGCACCAATCTCATTTATAAACCAATCAAAATATCGTCGTATAGATTGTAAATTACCTGGCGTATAAATATACATTCAAATTCAAATATTGTAATAGTATACAAGAGTCATACCTTTCTTCGTACATCGTATCATTGTCAATCTGTTGTGACGTGTAATCTTCGTATCCGTAGCACAGTGGGGTATCCGTCCGCTTTTATTACATTTTTACCAATTTTTTTTTTTCATTATATTACGTCAATTAATTACTTAATTTAGATTTTTCTTTATCATTTATTTTCTTTATGGTTTTCGTTATTTATACCTCACTCTCTCTTTACTCTTTACTTTGTACGCACATTCTTTCGCAACTTTCATGACCACTCCCCATCAGCTCACTTGCTTTTAAATACATATATGTACACATGTGTACATAAATATATATATATATATATATATATACACATGCACACATATATACAATACATCTTTTTTGTTCGCGTCTCTTGCATTCGTCTGCAAAACTAAACGATTTTTCTCTCACTCGCGGCCATCTTAAATCTTCACCGACGCTCTCTCACGTTCTCGCTTTCGTGTTTACCACACACTCGCATCATCGTTTTTAACATCAACAGCAACCCCTTTTGCTCCTGGTTCCCTTTGCCTCAACACCCTCTATTTTTTCCGTCGCATCTTATTTCTCATCCACCACCGTTTTTGTTTAGATGTTACTTTTTTTTCCAACCGTTGTTTTGTTCCTTCTTTTTATATTTTAAACATTATTATTATTATTTTTATTATTATTACTATTATTATTGTTATTAATTTATTTCATTTTTTAAATTTAAAATTTTTTTACGATTAATTATTTCACGTTTTACATATTTACAGACGTCCTCCACCGCCATTTCATATCGGAGTAAATATTTCGTCCATCTTATTATTCATTACTTGAAACTTTTTCCAAAATTCACAATATTATACTCAACTTGACGTTTTTTTTTTTTTTTTTTTAATTTCTTTTTATCATCATCATCATCATCATCAATTCATTAAAACATAGGCAAGTTAAATATTGTATCACAATCGTTTCAGTCTGGTCGAAATAGAACATTTTCAACCCATTTAGGGAAAGAAACGCGTTTTTTATTTAAACGGTTTTTAAAAACTACATAGTACGAGTTTCATTAATTCTTTTTTTAGCAAAAAGTACGAACCCATTTGTTACTTTTTTTTTTTTCTTGTTATTATTTTTTTTTTCATTTTTTTTATTTGATATTTTTTGCCTTTCTTCCCTTTGACGATTTCACGATACGTTACGCTGTACATGAATCGCTGAGAACACGAATTTTAAATTCACAACGCGCTCGTAATCGTTTTAAAGAAGACGAGGATCGAGTAACCGTCATTATTATATTTATATATAAACGTTAAACGTAATTGAACAAATCGGCACAACAAAAATGGAAGAATATTAATAAAAGTAGTAGCAATTAACGATAACATTAAAAAAACGTAAAAAACGAAGCTAATAGTAGTAGGAATAATAATAATAATAATAATAATAATAATAATAATAATAATAATAATGATAATAATAATAGTAATAATAATAATAATATTAATTATGACAATAATGATGACATTAATGTAACCAAAATGAAATAAAAACAAACCGGAAAGATATGAAAGACGAAATGGTAATAAATGCACGATAAATGTCACGGGTAGTGTTGCTGGAGCGGCTGGCACAAATGCGACGATACAACGTCAGACGTAGGAGCTGAATCATTATCATCATTAGTAGCTGAAGTAGTTGACGAAGTTCCAGTTCCAGGTGCATGATTATTGTTACCGATGGGCGTGAAGCAACGCTGATACTTTAGCGGGATTCCTGCTTGCTAATAGGCCGCAGGATGGACGGTTAGTCACTGTGGTGGAAGTGCCGACGGTGGTTTGAATTCTCCAGTAACGGCGACTCCGTTGGTCTGACCAGGGAACTGCGACGATGATACTGGTGGTTGATGATTGAATGCGGGTGCGTAGCACTGGGGAAAGTACAGCTCAGGCTTAACAACTGTAGGTGTGAGCCCCCGTGGCACTGGTACTGGTCCAAGGGCGGTTGGAGTGCCGGAAGGTTTGCCGTCGCTGCTGGAATTCCTCCTTACTTTACTCGCGTGAGGATTCATGTGATTGTCGATGTGCTTCTTTACTTCTGGCTCTGTCGCGAAGCGCCTCCGACAGTTGGGCATGGGACAGCAGAAGGGCCGGTCCCCCTGATGTGTGCGTGTGTGCTGATCCAAGATGGCCTTTTGACGAAAATCCTTGCCGCACTGCTGGCACTTGTAGGGTTTTTCCCCCGTGTGAATGCGCAAGTGCTGATTGAGAATGGTCCTCTGGCGGAAGTTCCGCCCGCAGTAGACACATCCGTATGGCTTTTCGTTGGTGTGAATGCGAAGATGCTGCGTCAAGTGGGACTGCTGACGAAATCTCTTGCCGCACTCTGGACATGGATACGGCCTTGACTCTATGTGGATGCAGCCGTGCTGCAAAAGGGTACTCTTCTGTTTGAACTCCTTCTGACAAATTGGACACCTAACGTAGAGAGGCATACCCGCTGATCTCCCGTGCTGAATAACGTCTGGTAAGCAGGATTTGCTCCCGTTGGGACCGCTGTTTCCTCCTCCTCCTCCTCCTCCCCCGCCGCCCTGCTGCTTAATGTACTGGAGGGCCCCGAAGCTCCCAGGTCCTCCGGCTCCGAAGACTGCGTGGTTCCCACCCTTTGGGTCCTTGAAGTAGGCTGGGTACTGGATGGAATTACCGTCTGGTGATGGACTGAATGCCCCCGACTGGGTGTCCGTGTCCCCGAAAGTCGAGGCGACCTCCTCTTTGCCTTCCTCTGGAGGGAATGGTACGTCCTGAGGCCACAGTGTTGGAGTCATACCATTCTTGAAGATCAGATGCGGACTCACATCTGGAATTAACAATTAGATATTTAGGATTGACGGGCTGATGGTCAATAAGGTGAAGGATTTATTATTTCTTTTTTTTTTTTGATTTATTATTTCATTTTTTTATAACAAATAAAAAAATAAAAATAAATTTTTTATTCTATCAATTCTTTTTTAATATACACATAAATATATATCCAGCAGTATACATTTATGTATATTAAATTTTTTTTTTCTTTTTCAAGTTAATTAATAAATTATTTAAATTTAAATATCATTGATATTGATGGAAAAATTAGTTGCAAAGATGATGATAATAATAAATAACTTTATTTATTTATTTGATTGGATAATAAATATAATAGAAGCATTATATGTTCAGCGCGTCTTGTTTTTGTTTAAATAATTATTAATATATTTATATGTATATATATATATTAAAATATTTGGTTTGTTTTTTTTTTGTTTTTTTTTTTGTTTTTTTTTTAAATAAAAGGTTTTGTAAATTCGATAATACTCGGACAATTAGAAAACACATTCCCGCCCGTTACGATCGTCAGGAACCAAGTGCGGAAAAAAGGTGGCGAGAGATAAGCCGTTCCGCCGCATAATACTACTGCCCTCTTGTCCTTGGCGGAAACGGAAAACGTTCGACCTTGGAGAGGGGACAGGGGAACCGGCCTCCGAACAGGGGACGCCGATATGGAACAGGAGTCACTGGGCACGGGTGCACAGAGAGTATTCAGAGAATATAAAGAAATAAAGACAAGAACATCTATCAGGAAGATAATATAGTCTGCCGAGGAATGCCATGGTAGTAGATAGCAGATAGCAGATTTAGAGAAGAAAAGTAAGTAAATAACTACTTAACAATATAATAATAAAAATAAGAAAAATTTTTTTTCAAGTTTTCTCAGTGAAAATAAGCAGAAATAGATTGAGTTTAATTGGCACATAGCAGAGAGCAGAGGGTCAGGGGATCCATGGTGCTCTGATGATATTTTGTCCGGTGGTACTGATACAGAGATAGACAGACAGATAGATAGATAGAGAAAGAGTGTGTGATGTGTCTTATCAGAGAATAGAATAGAATAGAAAAGAAATTGGTGGGTTTGGCATTTTGGGGAGCTGTTTAAGACATTAAAAATCTATTAAATAAAATAAAATAAATAAAAAGGTAAGAATAGTAGCGAGCAGCGCATCAGCGATAGTAAAAAGCAGTGGATGGTGGGTCAGTGTGGTGTCGGACGCCCTCTGGGAGTCTGGGGAGGCAGAGAGAAATGCTCGCCTTGGTGTGTGCGGACGTGCTGATTCAGGATCGCCTTCTGACGGAAGTGTTTTCCGCACTCCGGACATTGGTATGGCTTCTCACCCGAGTGGATGCGCAGATGCTGGTTGAGGATGGCGCGCTGCCGGAATGTGCGCTCGCAGTACACGCAAGCATACGGCTTCTCGTTCGCGTGAATTCTAAGGTGTTGCGTGAGATGTGACTGTTGTCTGAACCGCTTTCCGCACTCTGGACACCCGTACGGCCGACTGTCCGTATGAATCCTCTCATGTTGCAGCAACGTCGATTTCTGTTTAAAGTCTTTTCCGCACGTTAAGCACTTGAACAACCGCAGATCACTGTTAGCACCACCCTTTGAGGACTTGCCGTTCTGCTGGACAATGTCCGGTAACACGCTCGACATATTCGGGGCGCCGGGACTCGCGTACTGGTGAGCCTCAAGACTCGCGCCTCCGTCGCCTTGCCCCAGGGACGTCAGCATAACCCCCGGCTGTTTTAAGTAGTGCAGCGCTGAAAAACCCCCCGGGGTTAGCATGTGAGGCGGCACCGAGGGCGACGGATGCGGCCGGGTCTCTTTGAAGTAGTGCTGGGGATATTGCTGAAGTTCACCTGCACCAGGAAAGCAATCGCTCCGGTCGACCTCGTGGGGTGTCAGCTGCTGCTGCGGCGAGTGCTCTTGCTGTGCTTGTTGTTGCTGTTGCTGTTGCTGTTGCTGTTGTTGCTGTTGCTGCTGCTGTTGTTGTTGCTGCTGCTGCTGCTGCTGCTGTACCTGCTGCTGCGCCTGTTGCTGTTGCTGAACTTGTTGTTGCTGGACCTGTTGCTGCTGCTGTTGTTGCTGTTGCTGCTGCTGGGCCTGTTGTTGTTGGGCTTGTTGCTGAGCCGTAGGCTGACCGGACTGTATGTCGTCCTCGGGTGGGGTCAGTGCCTGCGGCTCAGGTGGTGCTGATGGGTATGGTGAGGGCACAGGAGACGCCAGTGTTGGCGGAGGCCCCGTTTCACCACCTTCGACCGGCGGGCCACAAGGCTGCTGTGGGCTACCGGAGGAGGATGATGCCTGCTGCTGTTGTTGCTGTTGCTGCTGCTGTGCATACAGACCACCATCTTGGAGAGATCCTGGCCCCGGCGCCCACTGGCCCTGGGGTCTCTCCATGTTGTCCTTGTACAATACGTACGGCGCGCCAGTATCTGCAATCAACACCAAAGACCAAAAACACAAATCAACAATTGTTGATGTCATTTTTTTTTTGTTTTGTTTATTTTTGTTTTAAAAATAACTTCTGACTGTTTGGCTTTGATCAAGTTGGAGTATTATTTTTTTTTTTACCTTGTTTTGTTTATCCGTGGATTAATGACAAAATTTTTTTAAAGTTTTTAGATAATTTATTACAAAAAAAAACTTGTTAAAGTTAATAAAACTAATTTAAAATATTTAAAGTTTTTTTTTTTTTGCTTGTTCATTATAAATTTAATAATACTAATTGGAAATTTTTTGTTTAAATTTAAATTGAAATTTTTCAAAGGTTTAATTTTTTAATCTTATGATTTATTTAAAAAAAAACTTCTGAAATTATTTGCTCAAATATGTTTTTATTATAAACTTGAAATTTTTTCACTAAATTAAAAAAAAATTAGAAGACATTACCAAAAACGCAATCCCGACTTATAACATCCTTTACCTTGATCTCAACACCAGCCAAACGTTATTTAAAAAAAAAAAAAAAAAACTTGACATATAATAAAATAAAAAGAGTATTTAAATAATAATAAAGTTAATATAAATATAAATGATTGAATGGTTGACGGTAAGGAAGGATGAGGAGGAAGATGCAAAGCAGGACGAGTTGATGAAAATTTCAGTGTTATTAAATTTTCATAAATCACGAAGGTAGTTTGTAAAACAAAAAAAAAAAATTTCAAGTGCATATGTACATCTACTTTGAAACCTATAATTTATTATGAACCGCGATAAATATAAAAATATAAATTGAAGGAACAAATACACCTCTGTATAATTACTATTACTCATTCAATTGAATTATATTGAATAATAAACCGTAAAGTTTGTACTATTCTGGTCTAACTCGCAACATTGTATCTGAGGTCCGCATCAAACCATGTAATAAACAACAAAGAATGAAACATTGTAACTAAATCGGCGCAGCAGGTAAGCTATCATTACGTCTTAATACACTTGATATTACCACCGCGGAGGGTTAGAAAAACAGGGTTTTAAAGTTTATCAGAAAAGGGGAAAAAGGATAATAATAAACCACCTCGTTGCCTTTTTTACTTTTAGTTTTGTTTTGTTCTTGAGTTGTGCTGTTGTTATTATTTCTGTAACTGTTAGTAAATAAAAGGGCTGACGGTGAGTGAAGAAAGAAAAATAACCATCAGCCGCAACGAGCGGGTATTCCCTTGCGATTTGCTAAAGCAATGACGTTTTAAACCGGTTCGCCATTATTATTAGTAAGTACCTGATGGTCTACCGAATACATCGTCCTCGTCCTCGTCCTCGCTGCTGCTAATACTTGTACGTGTATCTTCTTCTTCTTCCATTTATCCCAATGTGTAACCAACTAACCACAAATAATTACAATATACATTATATTACCGTTTCCTGAAATCACACAACCGACACCACTCGTAAGTAAACAAACAAAAATAACAAACAAATATATCTTTAACTAAAGTTAAATCTTTATCTTCATCATATTACCCTCATTATTCAAATTATATCATTTAAATTATATTATCCTCAATTCTCAATACAAAATAAATTTATAAACAACAATAATGAGTGTGCGGCTCCGTTAAAAATTAAAAATTATTTTTAGCAAATATTTAGCGCTTTAATTTACTAAAAATTAATAAAACTTTTTATCAGAAAAATTTTAACTGCTCAAATTTTTAAGAAAAAAAAATTTTTTTTTTTTTTCTATATAAATCAAAGCTCCATAAAATTTTCTAAACTTTTATTGTTTTAAATTGATTCTATATCAAATAAATCATAATTTTTTTAATACTGATAAAAATTTTCATTTACTTGTTAATTTATTTGTACATTTACTATTTATGTTAGCACGTGTTACTAATTTATAAAATATCAGTCAGAGATTATTCTGTTAAATTCAAAAAGATTGATAAGTTGCTTATTTACTTATTAATTTATAATTATCTAAGTTTAATTTTGATAGTTAAAGTTATAAAATACTTGAGAATAAATCATCGGAATTAAGATAAAAATTCACCGCGGTATGTTATAGTTTAAAATTTTAGAATAAATTACTTAAGTTTCTGTTTTATTATTTAGTAAAATCAAGTTAAGTATGCATAATAACATATTCTATTATGATATGATGTTAGTAAAATTTAAATAAAATATAATAAGTAATTGCGAGTGGATTGGCAACCTTCTGGTGGCCTTTACTGTACGAATAACGCAACAAACAACATACAATATCCAACATCGGTGTAGTGTCTCTAATCGCAAGTACTTTCGAGCTAGCAGACGGACATAATAATACAACATAACACAATATAGTTAAGCTAGCCTCCAGACCGTAACACAACCGGCGTCCCTTTCTATCCAATCGTCCATTGACGGTTTTGAATGAAATTACAATCACCGATATGACATTTTTCCTCCTCTTCACCGGTATAATTGTTTAGCAATTGCGATAGATTCCTAGATATAAAACATAAAAACCGTGAAACCGACTAGACTCGAAGAAAAAAACGAATTAATTAAAATGAACTCTACTTGAATGAAAAAGATAGAGATGTACAAAGTCATACTAATAATTCATAACAACTAATAAACAATAAATAATAAAATATAAAAAGGTGTATTTACATGCCCACGAGAGCATATTGCTACAGAATACATTGCACTGACGACAAAGTTCAACGTACGTAATCTCAACTCGTTTCTTTTATATATCTAACTATCTCGCTCTAGCTTTCTCGTTTCTTGTATCTAAATATATAACTTAGAACGATGTAGTATATTTTCGAATGCCACATGGCGAATTACCGAGTACGAGAGCACAACTACAGTTATAAGACGACGTGCCTCCGCACAAAGTTTTCTTTGTTAAGAGTATATAAGGAACCCTCCTATCGTCGATCATCGTGATGGCTACACACATAACATATATAAAATACATCCATACACACATTATTAACAACATCTACGGCCATACAAATTTAAATATTACAAATACATATCTTAATATTTATATTTATTACAACTATACTGGGTTTTCATTAAGAGCTCACCATTTTATTCGATAACGCCTGATTTTATTGCCGTAACAATTTATCTATCGTCTTCTTTATACATAATTGTGTAGATATACATTAACGTCCACTGATTATTAAATACGCGGGCTTTTATATCATACTACTGACTACTGACTCGTGATTTCGGTTGACCGATGACCCACTATCATTCGCCGAGGATTATTTTTTTACTTGGTCAATTCAAAATCCTAAATAAATCTACTATTTCTTCTTCTTTTCCTTATTATTATTATTATTATTATTATTATTATTATTATTATTATTAATTTTATAATATTATTATTTATTATTAGAAGAAATTTAAATGTATAAAAGTCCGTCGCTTCGTGAGTTATTGAGAGAATACCCGCGGTTATTTGTCGTCTTGTTTTATTTAATAATGTATATATCATAGTATGTATATCATTATTTATATTATCCGGGGTCTTGAGCAAAAGCAAGTCTCACTGTTACCACCAGCACTGTGTATCTTTCTAGTTCTTATTATCATATACATTTACAATCGTTTTAATTTCCGTGCGTGTGTTGTATTGTCACAGCGTTAAGGTGTAGACGTTTGTATATTAAAATCCGTTCATGTAATGGTAATTTTAATTGTAATTGTAATTGTAATGTGTAATAGTGTGATAACAGTAACACACGTTGATTATAAACGGTATTATAATAATAATAATAATAATAATAATAATAATAAATAAAGAAGATGATAATGATGGGTGTTAAAGAGAGCACACATATACGAGCACGTGGGTTTTGGCGTCGCGTTAAAGAAAGCGCGGTTTGGAGTCTTCTTGTAGTATAGCTTGTCTTCTTGCGGCTGGGTATCCACTGAACAGATAGCCAAGTACAATCCAGACAATATAAATATTAAAAATGATAGTACTTTAATAACTACACCGAGTTATAATCTAACGCGACTGAGAATATTACTTTGCGCACATCTGTATCAATGTTAAATGTACATATATACAGATATAAAATGAAGATATATGTATTTTATTTTATTTTATAATATATAAAACACAATGTACATAGGTACCGCATTGGTGCGGGCAATGTAGGCGCCTTATCGTCGCAACGATCAGCGAGAATCGGCGACAGTGGCGTTAGTGGCTGACTGTAGGCAGGCAACAAGGGGAAAGGGCAATGGCGGGAGGTTCAAAACCACGCGATATTTTCAGATAATCTAACTAATGTAACCCAACGCAATGTACTGACGGATAAAACGTTTCTTCTTGGATGTATGTAATATAATTATGTCGCTTCTATTCGATTTATTCGGGATTTATGAGTGTAAAAAATAGCAACAGTAAAATATTTAAGCCAGGGAGGAAATTTGGATGTATTGTATATTGAAGGGAAGAGGGAAGAGTATATAATATGTATATTAGAGATAATATTAATATTATAATACACTGGTATGGTGATCACAAATTCCAGCACATACACACACACACACACACACACACACACACAGATTTAGGAATCACTCGGCACATCCACGCAGATGTATATACAGATATATGTATTTAAAAATGGATATAAATTAATGATAATAATATTAATCATACATAGATTTATAAATATACATCACCACACTCGCGATAGATTAGAAGAAAACTTATAAACTTTTGGAGTTGGTTTATTATTTAAATGAACGAGTAACGAGTGTATGTGTGTGTGTGTGTGTGTGTGTGTTTTTATAATGAAATACTCACCGGAATTGTAATATTCCTTAAAATAACGTGTCGCCGCGCGTTGGACGATAGAGTAATAGAGGTTGACATACGACGTTGACTGATTCTGTGCGGAGAGCGCCATTTACACCGTGTTTAATTCGCAACTGGTAATATCGCGAGCCGAAAAAAATGTCTGGACGACGTTGTGTTGCGTGCGACGTCTCACGCACGCGGGGTTGGGTTGAGAGTAGGATTGTGTTGGTTGGAGGGAGCGCGGATCTCGGGAGAGGAAAGAGGAACGAGGAAAGGAGAGAGTCAAAGAGAAGAGGAGAGGAGAGAAATACAACACGAGGCGGGATCTCCTCTCTGTATTGTACCTCGTAGGACACCAATAGGACGTTCAAAATAATTAAACAATAAAAATAATTATTAATTTAACAATTAAAAAAAAATTATAATTTATTTATAATAATTTTTGAATCTTGTCAAGGATTTTGATGTTAGGACAAAGATTAAGAGAGACAGAGAGACGACGGTAACACGACGCGACGTCAACTCCGACGATGATGACGACGACGACGACGACGACGATGACGACGACGACGACGACGACGAGCACTCGGGTCTCTCTTGGTTAAATTCACGCAACGCGTCGTCGTCTCGGCATGCCGTGTTTTATATTAAAAACTCACGACTTATCGTCCGGTGGTCCTACTATCCGGTGTTACTCTACTCGGTCTTACTCTCTTTTGGTACCCGCGCCGGTAGACAAACTCGGTAGACTCGGCTGGCCCCCCGAGTGTGTACTCGCCAAGACCGAGACGCTCGCCGCGTTGTTGCCGCACTTCCGTCGCCGGCATACCCCGGAGTGGGGGGGACTCGGGAGTCGGGAGTCAGTTTCTGTTCTCCACCGATTGGTATGGCATGCTATGGTATGGGTTCAGGACGGTGGGTTTAGTCGAGTCGGATACGGGATAGGATGGAGAATCGAGATGGAGCTGCTGCCGCCACCGCCACCGCCACCACCACTACTCACTGCCTCACTACCTCACTCACAACCTCACTCATATTATAGTGCGATTATAGTGGGAAGAATCAGACGGCGAATTCGTGTGTGGAGAGCATCTAGTTGCGGAATACAACAGTTGGAGCGAGAGCTAGAGCTGTCGATACCACTCACCAGATAAAGAGAGGGAGAACTTGTTCTTGTAGAAGATTACTACCACCACAACGAGCACTGGCAGTCTCTACGTGTGTGCATGTGCCGCTGAAGAAGGCTGTGGGACGAGAAACCCGTCGTAAGAGGAGAAAGGACGGGAGGAGAAAGAACACTCTCTATCCACTATCCACTGTTGTCGAGGCAGACACACCAGGGGCAACTGAGGAGCTTGCGGGCGGACGGAGGAAACACTGAGAGGGTGTACGTCCATGTAAAATGTAGATGTTTATGTGAAGAGAAGAGAAGAGGAGAAAGAAGAGAAGCAAGTCAAGCGAGTTGTCCGTTCTCGTTGTGTGTATTATGTTGGACCGGAGAAGGGATTCGCCAAGTGAAGGGCGGAGGGGCACTCGCGGATA